CGACCTCAAACCCGCGACCTTGATGTTCTCGATGCTCACAGCGCTCCGAGCCTTGTCGCCCGTCAGCAGGCCGATCTGCTTGGCCACCCACCCGAACGACGTCGCGGCAAGCATGCCGGTGCCGACATGCCCGTCCGACACTGTGCCCGGCACTTTCTGCATACAACACAGGCAAGCGCGGCACAATATGAGCGGTGCATACAGATACGCGCAGACCGTAGCGGAGCCTAAACGTGCAACTCACGTCGCGGATAGGGTCGTCGCAGTCGGCAAGCCTTTCCTCCACCACTGCTTGTGATGGCGGCGCCCCGTCCCACTTCCTACCGGGACGCCCCAGCTCGGCCAGGGCAGCCGTGCGGAATAGCCTGGAGCAACGTAGTGGAGAGGAGGTCAGCATGAGATTCCCTGTGTCGGCGACTAACAAACTCGACAGCGACGACTATTCACAACTTACTTCAGGACGCGGACGGCCTCGTCGCGGTGCTTCCCTTTTCCGGTGTGCGGGTCGATGTGCCGGATCGATGTCCTGCAGACCTGTCCCTCAGCCTTCAGCACATCTCCTGGGTAGAGGATGGCTATGACGCTGCAGTGTGACCCTGGAAGCGGGCCGCCGCTGCACACGCAATAAACGACGGCGTCGACCACAGCATAAGGCGTTGATGCGGCCGACACTGAAAAACGATGACTGGACAACGGGGTAACAGCTCACGTCGATTTCAGCGGGATAGCGGCGATGTCGGCGTCGAAAGCCTTAGCAAAGCAAGAATGGTCGGCGGCTTTCATGGCCGATCGAAGCGGGCCGATCCCGAGCACCCACAACCGCAGGTCGTCCCGCCCAATGTCAAACCAAGCGAACCTGAGCGCACGAGTGAGCACGAGGGATGAGAACATGGCTGGTAAGCAAACGCTGCCATGTCGACGTGCTTCGTCAAACGCGCCCGCCGACGTACGTCGGAAGACAATCGGCGACAGTGCGCCCTACTAGGGTTGGTCGGCACCGACATCTTCCCTATTCGACTACCGCGACTACCCGCGTCCCACCTGATGGCGAGTCCAAAGCATCTCTCGGTGAACTCTTTCTTTTGGTCGCGAAGGACGGCGTAGTCGTTCCACTCTAAGGTGAAGCTGAGACCGCGACCCATTTGCACCCGAAGGGGAAAGTCGGCCGATGTCGGCGCCGACTTATCGGCGGCGGAGATCGGCTCCATATCTGTCGACTAAGAAAAGAGGCGGACGGCTCTGGTAGGAGAGAGGGGAGGCGCAGAGCTGTCAATGTTTGAAAATCTAAAAGAGATGCCGAAAATGCGGAGCGAGGCCACCTTCCACAAAGAAAAGGAAGTGGTGCCCCCCCCCCCCCAAGGCCCGTTAAGCATCGCCCAAGGGTGCAGGGCCTGGCTCGGCAGTGCTCGGAGGGCGGATGCGCAAGTGGCACAGGTGGTCCGTCTCCGCCTTGGTAGAGCGTCGACTTCGCGTCCATTGGCCCAGGTCGGCGAGGGGACGCACGAATCCTCCTGCGCGCGGAGCGACGCTACAATCGACACGTGTCGATTTCGTAGCGGTTCGCGACGATAGAATGCATGCGATGGGAGAGAATTTATTTTCGCCTCGTCAAAAATTTCGCATGCGCCCGATGCGAAGCCACGGGCGAACACGTGGCGCCACCGCTGCGAATCGCGAAATTGTCGAGTGTCCCGAGGGGGGCCCGTATTTTCGCACGGCCCTCGCCTGCCCGTCCGGGCAGGCCGCGATGGGTTACTAGGACCTCGCGGGCAGGCAGCACGTGTGGGCTGCCTTCGCGCGAGGGTAACTTTCCCTCGCGCGAGGGGTCGCCAGTTCGCCGACCCCACCCGGTAACGTGGGTCGCTGTTCAATTTCGAATGGTATATCTCAGCGGACAAGCGAGTCCGCCCGGGGGAGCTCGCTGCCCGCGGGCAAAAAAAATAAACCCCAGACGGGCATGCATCCGGTCAGGGAGCCTCAACCCTAAACGCGGGGAGGCATGGTGTTTAGGGTTGAGGCTCCCTCGGATGGCATGCCATCCGATGGGGTTTTAGTTTTTTTCTGCCCGGGGCAGCATGTCGACAGGTCGTCGGAGGGTCGTCAGGCTTGACGACCCGTTTCCGCTGAGATTTACCGGAGCGGGGCTGCGGGGCGGCGGTCGTGCGCTCGGCCCAGCCCTGGGCCAGGCTGGCGGGCCCGCACGCGCGTCAGTCGCCCGCCTCGTCAGGCCCTCCTCCGACGACCCCTCCCGTCGACACTGGCAAAACGGGTCCGACGACCGAGTTCCGATGAGGCTTTCGGGGTACGCAACACGCTCTAAAGCTCCTACTTGACGGGTGTTGTAATCTCGACGCTAGAAGCAAGTTCGAAACTGAAGCACTATTTTTCCGCCGCGTTCCTCCGTGTTGGCGCTAAAATTTACGCGGCTTGATTTACCGGCTGTCCGAACCGAACTCTAACGTCCATTTGCGTCTGAACCGTATCTCGGAACCGAAGTTTGTACTGCGTTTCGCCAATGCGTGGCTCGCTGATCGTCCCGCGTGCCCCGAGTTTGTGACGCGGTGCAAGGTTTGCCGTGTGGAAGAACGGGCGGAGGGGAGATACGTCACTGCGAGAACGGAGCTATACTCCTTCCTTTTGACACACTGCGAGAACCACGCCATTCCTCGGACGCTCCTCCTGACATACTATGTTTAGTATTAATAGCCATGCGGCCCGCATGTCGTCCCGAACGGTTAAGAAGATTAAGATGTCTGGTTAGAATCAAGAAAATGTGACCAAATTAGCGTGTCGAACCCTCTAGAAAAAGCGAGGAGAGTTGACTGAGCGGCTTTAGGAGAAGGAGGGAACGCAGGTTAGCGGGATGCACTGTAGCAGGAGATTCTGTCGCGGGAAAACCCGCTGCGCTATGCGCTTTAGTGGAACACAGTGTAGCGGGGAACCTTTCACCGAAATGCGTATTAACGAAACGCGCTATACTGGGATCCATTGTAGAAGCACCCGGTCCCCCTCCGGGGTGCCACGTGGCATGCTCCGCGGCAGCTGCTCTGCTGCTGCTGCTACTGCTGCTGCCGCTACTAGTGCTTCTCCTTCCCGCCCGCAACAAACCGCCTGGCGCCGCTGCTGTTGCTGTCCTCTACCCGCAATGTACTTAATCTCCGTTCTTGCTTGTATTTTTGAGACGTCTCAAAAATACCCTCTCTGCACGTCGCAATGTACTTAATCTCCGTTCTTGCTTGTCAGCTAAAGAGCTGTAGGTGTTGCTGTTGCTCCTGTTCTCTATCGCCAATGTACTTGGTCTCTAGTCTCGCTTTAACTCCGTTCTGTGACGCGTCGCCGATTGTAACATGTGCGTCACGCCACCATTGTGCCTAGTAAAGTAACTCCTGTGACCTGTCAGGGTCACTGCTACACTGATTCAACACACATACCCCCTGTCACTACCACACTGCTAGTTGACGCAGAAGCAGTTTAATAGCTGCGTTTTTCCGAAGCCCCTTGCTCTCCTTCCCTATCCGCCCATCATCCCCGTTACAGGGCTGGCTCTCGTTTCAATAAGAGATGGGCTCGATTTTCTGTACCCTAGTCGCAGCCCTAAGGCGTTCTGGACCAGCCTCTCGGACTGCTCCCTGCTCTTTGGAGCAGGCTGCGACTCCCTCGGGAATGTCGTGTCTCTGTGAGTTCCCTCTGTGAACCATCATGCTTTAAATAAATCCCAACTACACTTCCTCGGGGTCTCTGTGAGTCACTCAGTGTACTGTCGTGTTCATATTATTGAATTGGGACATGCTCGGACTGTCATATTCTGCCTTTCTCCTCTCTGTTCTGCTTTGCCCTGCGCTGCCCTGCTCTGCTCTGCTCTGCTCTGCCCTTCCCTGTCCTGCTCTACCCTGCCCTACCCTGCTCTGCTCTGTGTTCTTCTATTACCTGGTTTCCTCTGGTTTCCTCTGGTTTCTTCTGGTTTCCTCTGGTTTCCTCTGGTTTCCTCTGGTTTCTTCTGGTGTCCTCTGGTTTCCTCTGGTTTCCTCTGGATTCCTCTGGTTTCCTCTGGTTTCTTCTGGTCTGCTCTGGTTCACCCTGGCACCTAGCAGGTCGCTGTACGATGCAATCGGGACAATCCCTTCTGAGCTGGGTGGCTTGACAGCGCTGCTATCCCTGTGAGCAAGCACACGGCACACACACGCACGCACGCACGCACACACACACACACACACACACACACACACACACACACACACACACGCACGCATGCACTCATGCGCGTGCACGCACACACACACACACACACACACACACACACACACACACACACACACACACACACACACACACACATTCATGCACACATAAGAAGTATATGTTAGGTTTGTGAGGAGATAGACGTTAACTATCAATTCACACTCTCACACACCCTCCCTCCTTACCCTCTTCCAACCCACCCACCCCCACCTCCCATGCCGCCAGAACTGCAAACGGAAACATCCCCAGCCTCCCAGCCTCCACAACTCAGCTCACCTCGCTGACACTCCTGTAAGAAGTTCCGTGCAATCGCGCTCCGCCCTTCCCTTTGCTTCACATGCCTTTCCTTCACCTTTCTACCACTCCTGTACGATATTTCTTCAATCCAGCCACTCAACCCTCCTCTTGCCACTCAACCCTCCTCTTGCCATTGCCACCCCCCCCCTCCTCTTGCCACCCCCCCCTCCTCTTGCCACCCCCCCCTCCTCTTGCCATCCCCCCCTCCTCTTGCCGTCCACTCCTCCCCACGTGGCAGGTCATTCAGCAAGGCTGGTCTCACGGGCCCTTTCCCAACCGTCATCTCCGCACTCAAGAAGCTCAAAGACCTGTGCGTGCATGCGTGTGATGTGTGCGCTTTCACTCTTGTTCTGTGGTGTTTCGTGAATTCTAAAAGAAACACTCAGCGGTTCTCATAGGGGCCCCCTTCCTCCTGCCTCTCACTCACCGTCATCTCAGCACTCAAAAAGCGCAAAGACCTGCTCATGTGTGCGCTCATACATTTTGTATCATCTGTATACTCAGTCAGACTCAGACTCTTTTTTTGAGGTTGATTTTGAGAATTCTCAAAATCAACCTAAAAAAAAAGTCCTGCTCATGTGTGCGCTCATACATTCTTTCTCATCTGTATGCTCAGTCAGTCAGACCCAGACTCAGACATAGAGATCAACGGGAGAAGAGAAGGGACATGCTGACTTTGCCTTGCCTGTTCTCTTCAAGGACATGTTGATTGCTCACCGTCACTGTCCCTTTTACCCTTTCGTTCCCTTCGTCTTCTCCCCCATTCTCCTTGCTGATCGACATCAGGAAACTCCCTGGAAACTCCCTGTCTGGCGCCCTTCCTCCCTTCCTCTCCACGCTCACATCCCTCACTACCCTGTAAGCCAGCGCTTGTCACCCACCCCTCCTCTCCATTTTTGAGTCGACTCAAAAGCACTCTCACATCCCTCACTACCCTGTAAGCCAGCTCTTGTCTTCTCTCCATTTCTTTTACTCAGTCCTCCAGTACTTGTTTTACGTATCTTTTCACACCCGTTTCCGTGAACTCTTCCTGCATCCCCCCTCACACCTCTCCGTATCCGCCTCCACTTCTCTGCACTGTTTTGTATCGTTCTGCAGGAGGCTGGACTCGAACCAATTCACAGGCTCCATCCCTTCCGCCTTGTCAAAGCTAACAGCTCTCACCATCCTGTGAGCAGTTGCCTGTGCTGCTAACACATACGGACTGAAGCGCTTAGGTATGTTCCTTTTGAATTCGTTGGATTGGATTGGATGTGCCTCTTCTCTCCTGTCTCTCCCACATTTGCTCCTGACTTCTTCAAATTCAGCCTGAAAATGTGGGACGCTACAATCCATTTGCGCCTCTCTCCGTCCATTCTGAGACGCCTGAAAATTAGGTTCCTTGAACGTGCCTTTCGCTTATTTCCTGCCTCTTGTTCCGCCACCCATCCCGTCCACCCATCCCCTCCATCCCCCCCTCTCGTCCTCCTTCCCCAACAACCTTCTAACAGGGTCACTTACGAGTCAACCCAAAACAGACCATCCATTCCCTCCATCCTCCCCTCCATCCTCCCCGCACATCCTCCCCGCACATCCTCCCCTCCATCCTCCCCGCACATCCTCCCCGCCTTCCTCCCTCTCATCCCCTCACAGCTCCGTTCCCAACAACCTTCTTACAGGACCACTTCCGGCCTCTCTCTCCACCCTCCGCCAACTCGTTTCCATGTGAGCCTGCCTTTCGTAGTCTCTATCTATTACTGCCTTTCCTTACAAAGCCGCATGCAAGCTTGCTCGTTGTGCTTACTCTCTAAAACTCGCGGTTTCATTTCATCCCACCTCAGTAACCTTTTGAGGTGACTTCTGAGGCGACTCAAAAGTCACCCCGTTCTGTTCCCCTTTTCCTCCTTCCGCGTTCCCTTCGCAGCGACGTTCGCCAGAACAAGCTTTCAGGCTCCATCCCATCTCAGTACAGCACCCTCACTGCGTTGGAGGCCCTGTGAGTGAGTGAGGGAGTGAGTGAGGGAGGGAGGGAGGGACGTTCGCGACGTTCGCCAGAACAAGCTTTCAGGCTCCATCCCATCTCAGTACAGCACCCTCACTGCGTTGGAGGCCATGTGAGTGAGTGAGGGAGTGAGTGAGGAGTGAGTGAGTGAGTGAGTCAGGTGTGAGGGAGTGAAATTGAGTGTTGAAGTGAGTGGGTGTGCAGTTGCACAGCTCTCTTATCTTTTTGAGTCGACTCAAAACAAACTCTCAGGCTCTATCCCATCTCAGTACAGCGCACTCACTGCGTTGGAGGCCATGTGAGTGAGTGAGGGAGTGAGAGAGTGGATGAGTGAGTGAGGGAGTGAGTGAGGGAGGGAGGGAGGGAGGGAGGGAGTGAGTGAGTCAGTGAGGGAGTGTGCAGTAGTTCAGGTCGAACTGCTTCAGACTAAACCACTGCTCATGCCCACACTTCCCTCCCGCTCCCCCACTTCTCCCATTTTCCCCCCGCTCCACCTTCACTCCTCCTTCCATCTCCTGCTCCCCCTCCAGTTACCTCAGTAACAACTCTCTCTCTCTCTCTCACTGCCTTCTGCTCTCAGCACGCTCGCCCAATCCCCCCTCATCATCCCCTCTCTCCCTCCCTCTTTCCATCTCTTCCTCCCCCTCCAGTTACCTCAGTAACAACTCTCTCTCTCTGGCGCACTGCCTTCTGCTCTCAGCACGCTCACCCAATCCCCCCTCATTATCCCCACTCTCCCTCCCTCTTTCCATCTCTTCCTCCCCCTCCAGCTACCTCAGTAACAACTCTCTCTCTGGCGCACTGCCTTCTACTCTCAGCACGCTCATCAGCCTACGCAACCTGTAAGAACGTCCTTCCTTTCCCAGACGCCTCAAGTTTTGAGTCGACTCAAAACTCAACTCTCTGGCGCACTGCCTTGTGCTCTCAGCGCGCTCACCAGCCTGCGCAACCTGTAAGAACCTCCTTTCCCAGACGCCTCAAGTTTTGAGACACCTCAAAACTGAGACGATTTTTGAGGCGCCTCAAAACTGAGACGATTTTTGAGGCGCCTCAAAACTGAGACGATTTTTGAGGCGCCTCAAAACTGAGACGATTTTTGAGGCGCCTCAAAACTGAGACGATTTTTGAGGCGCCTCAAAACTGAGACGATTTTTGAGGCGCCTCAAAACTGAGACGATTTTTGAGGCGCCTCAAAACTTAGACGATTTTTGAGGCGCCTCAAAACTTAGACGATTTTTGAGGCGCCTCAAAACTGAGACGATTTTTGAGGCGCCTCAAAACTGAGACGATTTTTGAGGCGCCTCAAAACTGAGACGATTTTTTAGGCGCCTCAAAACTGAGACGATTTTTGAGGCGCCTCAAAACTGAGACGATTTTTGAGGCGCCTCAAAACTGAGACGATTTTTGAGGCGCCTCAAAACTTAGGCGATTTTTGAGGCGCCTCAAAACTTAGACGATTTTTGAGGCGCCTCAAAACTTAGACGATTTTTGAGACACCTCAAAACTGAGACGATTTTTGAGGCGCCTCAAAGATCTGCTCTCAGCGCGCTCACCAGTCTTCGCAACCTGTAAGAACGTCCTTTCCCAGACGCCTCAATTGACAGCCTCAAAATCACTGGTTGCCTTGACTTGCTCTTTCCCCCCCCCTCCCCCCCCCCCCTTCATGCCGCAACTCCTCTGATTCGCATCGCATTGCGTCATTCCTTAATGTGATCTCCATACAAGGGTGAATACTTCTCCGTTCCTGTAACAGTCACCCACCCTCGTGCTTCTAATCTGATCTCCTCCCTGTGAACTTTCTCTTGTATGCTGCCTCGTTATAAGCAGGCTTGTTGACAACAACACCATCTCTGGGTCAATACCAGCGTCCTTTTCAGCCCTAGTGTCTCTCGTCTACGTGTGAGTGCCCCCCACCTTTCGAGGTGACTTCTGAGTCGACTCAAAAGTCTCTATGTGTGAGAACCTCCCACCTTTCGAGGTGACTTTTGAGTCGACTCAAAAGTCTCTATGTGTGAGTACCTCCCACCTTTCGAGGTGACTTTTGAGTCGACTCAAAAGTCTCTATGTGTGAGTACCTCCCACCTTTCGAGGTGACTTTTGAGTCGACTCAAAAGTCCCTACGTCTGAGGACCTCCCACCTTTCGAGGTGACTTCTGAGTCGACTCAAAAGTCTCTACGTCTGAGGACCTCCCACCTTTCGAGGTGACTTCTGAGTCGACTCAAAAGTCTCTATGTGTGAGGACCTCCCACCTTTCACTTCCATTTACAATGCGCCTTAAAAATCCACACCATCTCTCGGTCAATACCAGCGTCCTTTTCAGTTATTGTGTCTCTCGTCTACGTGTTAGTGTCCCCCACCTGTATTGCCTTTCTCCCGTCATTCCTTTTGAGGCGCCTCAAAAGTCGTCTCATGTCCTTCGAGCATGAGTCAGGGTGCCCCCCGCCTTTATGGCTTTTCTCCTGTCATTCCAATTGCCTCGTTTTGAGGCGCCTCAAAACGATACGTGCCCCCCGCCTTTATTGCTTTTCTCCCCTCATTCCAATTGCCGCCCATCCCTGCTTTTCCCTCCTCCCCCCCAGCTCACCCCCCCTTCCCTTCCCATTTCCCACCTCCATCTCCCATCCTCACCCTTTATCGCCCATTCTCCCTCTTCGCCTCTGCCCTTGTCCCCCCTCCCCACTCCAATCCCCCCCCTCCCTTTCCTCCCCCCCTTGCCCCTTGCCCCTTGCCCCTTGCCCCTTGCCCCTTGCCCCTTGCCCCTTGCCCCTTGCCCCTTGCCCCTTGCCCTATTTTAGGCGCGCCAACAACAACAAGCTATCCGGATCGCTCCCTGCTGGTCTCAGCATCCTCACCACACTCGATTCCCTGTGCGTTTCAAACACACAGCACACTCATTACCCTCAATACCTTGCGTGCACCTTCTCTAACTCTGCAAAAGAATCACCCTACTCCTCAGTACCTTCACTAACTCCTGCCAACCTCTTACCATGCCAACCTCTTACCATGCCAACCTCCCATGCCCCACAACCCACAACCCCGCATCGCATGCCCCTGCCTCATACCCCATGCCCCATGCCCCATGCCCCATGCCCCATGCCCCATGCCCCATGCCCCATGCCCCATGCCCCATGCCCCATGCCCCATGCCCCATGCCCCATGCCCCATGCCCCATGCCCCATGCCCCATGCCCCATGCCCCATGCCCCATGCCCCATGCCCCATGCCCCATGCCCCATGCCCCATGCCCCATGCCCCATGCCCCATGCCCCATGCCCCATGCCCCATGCCCCATGCCCCATGCCCCATGCCCCATGCCCCATGCCCCATGCCCCATGCCCCATGCCCCATGCCCCATGCCCCATGCCCCATGCCCCATGCCCCATGCCCCATGCCCCATGCCCCATGCCCCATGCCCCATGCCCCATGCCCCATGCCCCATGCCCCATGCCCCATGCCCCATGCCCCATGCCCCATGCCCCATGCCCCATGCCCCATGCCCCATGCCCCATGCCCCATGCCCCATGCCCCATGCCCCATGCCCCATGCCCCATGCCCCATGCCCCATGCCCCATGCCCCATGCCCCATGCCCCATGCCCCATGCCCCATGCCCCATGCCCCATGCCCCATGCCCCATGCCCCATGCCCCATGCCCCATGCCCCATGCCCCATGCCCCATGCCCCATGCCCCATGCCCCATGCCCCATGCCCCATGCCCCATGCCCCATGCCCCATGCCCCATGCCCCATGCCCCATGCCCCATGCCCCATGCCCCATGCCCCATGCCCCATGCCCCATGCCCCATGCCCCATGCCCCATGCCCCATGCCCCATGCCCCATGCCCCATGCCCCATGCCCCATGCCCCATGCCCCATGCCCCATGCCCCATGCCCCATGCCCCATGCCCCATGCCCCATGCCCCATGCCCCATGCCCCATGCCCCATGCCCCATGCCCCATGCCCCATGCCCCATGCCCCATGCCCCATGCCCCATGCCCCATGCCCCATGCCCCATGCCCCATGCCCCATGCCCCATGCCCCATGCCCCATGCCCCATGCCCCATGCCCCATGCCCCATGCCCCATGCCCCATGCCCCATGCCCCATGCCTCCCCATGCACTCAACAGGATTCTCTCCCGCAACACAATAGCCGGCTCCATTCCCTCTGACTACTCCGCCCTCGAGTCCCTTGCCGTGCTGTGAGCCGTCTTGTCCCTCCTCCCCCTCGTCCGCTCCACTCTCCAGTTTTGAGGCGCCTCAAAACTAGACCCTCCTCCCCCTCTTCCGCTCCACTCCACTCTCCAGCGTGCATCAAGTGCTGCCTCCAATGCCCTATCCCCCTCCCCCTCTCCGGACACTCCGCCCTTGAGTCCCTTGCCATGCTGTGAGCCGTCTTGTCCCTCCTCCCCCTCGTCCGCGCCACTCCACTCTCCAACGTGCATCAAGTGCTGCCTCCAATGCCCTATCCCCCTCCCCCTCTTCGGATACTCCGCCCTTGAGTCCCTTGCCGTGCTGTGAGCCCACTTCTCTCCCTCCTTGCTGACTACTCTGCCCCTCCCCTTTCTCCTTTTCCTTCCTACCTTCCTTAACCCCTCTCTCACTCCCCCCCACCCTCTCTTCTTCCTTCCCACCTACTACCTCCTTAGACCCCTCTCCCCCAACCAGCCTGCATGACAGCAACTCTCTCACTTACTGTTTTTCTTCTTCTCCCTCTCTCACATCCTTCTTTTTTTCTCCCCCCCACTCCGCCCATCCCCCTCTCCCCTCTCCCCGTCGACCTCCACCCCGCCCACCTCCCTCGCCCCTCTCCCCCAACCAGTCTGCCGGACAACAACTTCATTATTGGGTCCATCCCCTCCTCCCTCTGCTGTTGAGTCGACTCGAAAGCTCCCTCACTCACTGCCTCTTCTCCCCCCACTCCACCAACCCCCTTCCCCCCCAACCAGTCTACTGGACAACAACTTCATTATTGGGACCATCCCCTCCTCCCTCTCCTCACTCTCCTATCTTTATCAAGTGTACGTGCTCTCCCCTCCCCACCCCGCCCCACCCCCCCCCTCCCTTCCTTCCTCTCCACACTCTCCTATCTTTATCAAGTGTACGTGCTCTCCCTCTTCCCTCCTCCCTCTCCACACTCCTATTTTTATCAAGTGCACTTTCTCTCTCTACCTCCCCCGTTCTCTTTCGTTTTACTATGAGTGTACATGCTCCCCCTTCCTTCTCCTCCTCTTTCATTTTGATGAGGGGATGAGGTATTACTTTGTTTCATTAGAAGCTTTTTTTCTTAATTCTTTGGCCTGCATTCGCCTCCTACGTCTTAACATATGTCCTTGCTTCCCCACCATCCTTCCTTCAGCCTTCAATCTCACACGTCAAATTGCACCCACCAGTCACGCTAGTTTCCCGTTAATTATTATTATTATTATATATTCATCTTCATTTCTTTCTTTTTCCTCCTGTTTCAGAGACGTGTCAGAGAACTTGCTATCAGGCACGCTTCCTTCAATGTTCACCACAAACATGACCGACCTTAGATTCTTGTGAGTGAGTTGTGCGTCACCACAAAAGCTGCATGTTGACTGGCTTTCTCAACCGATGTTTACCACAACAAACATGACCGACCTTAGATTCATGTAAGTGAAATGCTCAGCATAAGTCAGCACAAATCAATGCAAAGTCGCACGTTGAGCTCTTTTTTATCCATCTGTTGGCTATGCCTAGCTTTCCCCCTCTCCCCCCATCACCGAGCAATGTCGCCTGCACTCTCCTCACTCAAGCCTCCCCCCTCTGGCCTCCCCCCTCTGGCCTCCCCCCTCTGGCCTCCCCCCTCTGGCCTCCCCCCTCTGGCCTCCCCCCTCTGGCCTCCCCCCTCTGGCCTCCCCCCTCTGGCCTCCCCCCTCTGGCCTCCCCCCTCTGGCCTCCCCCCTCTGGCCTCCCCCCTCTGGCCTCCCCCCTCTGGCCTCCCCCCTCTGGCCTCCCCCCTCTGGCCTCCCCCCTCTGGCCTCCCCCCTCTGGCCTCCCCCCTCTGGCCTCCCCCCTCTGGCCTCCCCCCTCTGGCCTCCCCCCTCTGGCCTCCCCCCTCTGGCCTCCCCCCTCTGGCCTCCCCCCTCTGGCCTCCCCCCTCTGGCCTCCCCCCTCTGGCCTCCCCCCTCTGGCCTCCCCCCTCTGGCCTCCCCCCTCTGGCCTCCCCCCTCTGGCCTCCCCCCTCTGGCCTCCCCCCTCTGGCCTCCCCCCTCTGGCCTCCCCCCTCTGGCCTCCCCCCTCTGGCCTCCCCCCTCTGGCCTCCCCCCTCTGGCCTCCCCCCTCTGGCCTCCCCCCTCTGGCCTCCCCCCTCTGGCCTCCCCCCTCTGGCCTCCCCCCTCTGGCCTCCCCCCTCTGGCCTCCCCCCTCTGGCCTCCCCCCTCTGGCCTCCCCCCTCTGGCCTCCCCCCTCTGGCCTCCCCCCTCTGGCCTCCCCCCTCTGGCCTCCCCCCTCTGGCCTCCCCCCTCTGGCCTCCCCCCTCTGGCCTCCCCCCTCTGGCCTCCCCCCTCTGGCCTCCCCCCTCTGGCCTCCCCCCTCTGGCCTCCCCCCTCTGGCCTCCCCCCTCTGGCCTCCCCCCTCTGGCCTCCCCCCTCTGGCCTCCCCCCTCTGGCCTCCCCCCTCTGGCCTCCCCCCTCTGGCCTCCCCCCTCTGGCCTCCCCCCTCTGGCCTCCCCCCTCTTTCCCAGCAACGTCGCCTTGAACTCTCTCTCTCTCTCTCTCTCTCTCTGGCTCGCTGCCCAAGTCTCTCTCAAATTGGCAATGACCTCACATTCCTCTCACATTCCTCTCACATTCCTCTCACATTCCTCTCACATTCCTCTCACATTCCTCTCACATTCCTCACATTCCTGGTATGTGTTCCCCTCCCTTCTCCCCTCCCCAGCAACGTCGCCTTCAACTCTCTCTCCGGCTCCCTGCCCAAGTCTCTCTCCAATCTGCAATCCCTCTACTCGCTGTGAGTGCCTCGTGGCTTTTCTAAAAACGAGTCACAAGACCCTGTGAACGTTCTCAAAAGGCTTTTGATACACCTTAAAGATGCTAGTCCGATGCCCCCTCCAACCTGGACTCGCTATACTCTCTGTGAGTCTGCCTACCAGCTCACTATGAGGGGACCTCTAAGTCAGCTGTTAATTCCGCTCACCCCCCTCCTTGCCCTTCGTCTGTCCTCCTTACCACCAGCGACCTCAGCAGCAACTACTTCAGTGGCCAAGTGCGGACTATCTTCAGCGCACTCACTTCACTTCAATCCATGTGAGATTTCTAAATGTTTGGTCATTCGTGCATAACACATTTCGTTTCAAACCCCGCTTTCCTCTCTTCAATCCGTCCATCCTCGCTCACTTCCCCCGCCTTCTTCTCTCCTTAGCAACCCCACATGCCACCCTGATTCTGCTGGGTGTTTTTTGAGTCGACTAAAAAATCAACTTCCCCTGCCTTCTTCTCCTCTTAAGCCCACATGCCACCCCTCCACTCCCCTTAACCCCACATGCCACCCCTCCACTCCCCTTAACCCTGCAGGGTGTTTTTGCAAATTCTCACAAACACCCTCCCCTCCCCTTAACCCTGCCACCCTGTGCCACCGTTCCCTCGCGCCACCCACAGCAACATCTCCTACAATTATTTCACGGGGTATTTACCCAAGATCGGGTTTCTAGGCGAGCTAAAATCCACCGACCTTTCCAACAACTTCTTTTTCGGGTCAGCCAACGACGGCACCGACAGCATCGGCCTCCCACTCTGCCCGGACCCTCCCACCTCCTCTTACACCGCCGCCCAAAATTGCCTCTTAAACCTCGCAAACACCTGCACAGCCATGTCAGGACAGACAGTGGATATCGTGGAGCCGCAAAAGACGGAGGATGAGTGCTTTGTCTTTTGTGGGACGAGCCTCGCGATGCCGATGTTCCCGAACCAGCAGTGTGGGTACGAGAAGGGGATGTGTGTGGCTAATCTGAGCGGCAACGGTGTGCTGTTCTACCAGTGCCAGTGTACGGCGCCGTTTGTCCGATCTGCAGACGCCAAGTCGTGCGATCTTCCACGTAAGTCTCTTGTGAGGATATTGTCTCTTTCCCCCGCGCCATCCCCTCTCCCATTTTGCCCCGCCACTCCCCTCCCCCCTCCCCCCCCCCCCCCCCCGCAAAAACTTAATTTCCATGGACAGCTGATGATTTAGCTTCAGAGACCCAATGCCGCTTCCTCACTCTGTCATGATCTAAAGGTGATATTTGACTCGAACCAAGAAGAGAAATGATGCAGCCTCCTCACTCTGTCATGATCTAAAGGTGATATTTGACTCGAACCAAGAAGAGAAATGATGCAGCCTCCTCACTCTGTCATGATCTGAAGGTGATATTTGACTCGAACCAAGAAGAGAAATGATGCAGCCTCCTCACTCTGTCATGATCTAAAGGTGATATTTGACTCGAACCAAGAAGAGAAATGATGCAGCCTCCTCACTCTGTCATGATCTGAAGGTGATATTTGACTCGAACCAAGAAGAGAAATGATGCAGCCTCCTCACTCTGTCATGATCTGAAGGTGATATTTGACTCGAACCAAGAAGAGAAATGATGCAGCCTCCTCACTCTGTCATGATCTAAAGGTGATATTTGACTCGAACCAAGAAGAGAAATGATGCAGCCTCCTCACTCTGTCATGATCTATAGGTGATATTTGACTCGAACCAAGAAGAGAAATGATGCAGCCTCCTCACTCTGTCATGATCTATAGGTGATATTTGACTCGAACCAAGAAGAGAAATGATGCAGCCTCCTCACTCTGTCATGATCTGAAGGTGATATTTGACTCGAACCAAGAAGAGAAATGATGCAGCCTCCTCACTCTGTCATGATCTGAAGGTGATATTTGACTCGAACCAAGAAGAGAAATGATGCAGCCTCCTCACTCTGTCATGATCTAAAGTTGATATTTGACTCGAACCAAGAAGAGAAATGATGCAGCCTCCTCACTCTGTCTCAGTGCGTGATTTGATTCTCTATCCTTCTCTCCTCTCGATTTGATTTCACGTAACCTGTCCTGTCCCGACACTGCCTCCTCTCGCTGCCGCCCTTACACATCACTTATTGTCCCTTTTCCTTTCTTTTGCCTGCATCTCCCCCATTTTGGAATCCAATGTGTTCTCTGTGCATGTTACAGCCAGCCCACCTCCACCACCGCCATTTCCCCCAGGTCCCCTCCCACCCTCTCCTCCCCCCCCCACCCCCGAAATCTCCTCCTCCCTCCCCCCCGTCACCTCCCAGCCCCCCTCCTAGACCCCCTCCATCTCCCCCTAACCCGCCCCCTAGCCCTCCACCTCCCCCCTCACCCCCCCCTCCCTCGCCCCCACCGCCTCCCCCTTCCCCTCCTCCCGCTCCTTCCCCCCCTCCTCCGCCGACTGTGCTTCCACTAATTGATTGTTACATGTCGAGCCTCACAGACAGTTGCGAGTGTTTTTGCCCGTTCTTTAACCAATGTTATTGCCAGTAAGGTTTCAGTGGACTAAGGTTATTGAGTAGTTAGTTCATCAGTCATTATTTTTTGTCAATCTGATGCACTCTTGCGCTTTATAGGATGTCATGAAAGGCAGCATATCCTTGGAAGATTCCCGAATTGTACACTATCGATTCTCAGCGTTGGCAAAACGAATAATTGCGGTAGACTTTTTTTTTTTTTTTTTTTCCATTTTTGCCATACACTTTTTGCCACTACTTCTCGCTGGGGGGCCTATCACGGTGGAGGAAGAGATGCTTCACTGTGCATGACTCGTGCTCGGTTCCCCCACCTGCGGCAAATTTTGTCTTCGCACTATTCACGTGCGGCACCGGTTGTTTCCAGGCCTTGGGTGTGCGTTGTCAACTTGTCACCACCCGTAGCGCCTACTGCGTTGGAACAGTTTTGCGGTACACCAGTTGCGCGTTTAAGACACCCATGGTTGCCTTGTGAAGAGTGCCCTTAAGTGACTTTTGCATTTCGCACATGTTCGGTGGTTTCGTCTCAGCTTCGGCGTGCTTTAAAAAAAAAAAGTGATAACTGAGCGGTTGTCTTTTCCAGAACAGTGAGGTGTTGCTGAGTTTGTCATATATCCTTACACCAAGTTACCATTTTTTCCCTCGTCCATTGATGCATCCAATTACACAAACATTCACAACCTCACACAAAAAAGCTCCCTCACTTTCACAACCAATCACAACCCTCCAGCTCCTCAAGCTCCTCATTCCACCCGCTTACTTGGCGAACCCACACAATGTGCACAAGACGTGCACAATGTGTGTAGGGGAGATCCAATGCAATCCCCTCGAAGGCGGGCGCCTTCCTCCTCACAGGGCCATCCACTCGGCGGCATCAACATAGCCGCCTATGACGGCTCCTACCCCGGAGTCGAGAAGCTCCTGGCGGGTGCGGCGAGGCGTCGTCATCCACGCCGGCAGGACACGCCCACGACGACGCGGGATGGTGGCCTCAGAGGCAGTGGCGAGGACGGCAGCAGCGGGGCGAATAGAGGGCAGCGGAGGCGTGTTGAGGTTGATGGAAGGGCTTGCACGCTCAATACGATCGATGATGATCGGATTCCTTATCTCAAAAAGAGCGCACAGGTCGCGCGGCGTGATGCACGTCGCGCGGGCGTATCTGATGAGCATCTCACATGCCGCCCGTGCCGTCCGCCTAGCCTCGCGAGTCTCTGGATTTTCGTCCTCGTACACCTCATGCATGGTGGTGGGCGGCTCCCACGAGGCGCGAGAATGGGCCATGGCGGGCTCGATAGCCAGGGGATCCGGGCCCGGCTCAGCGCAGGTCGGCTGGTCGCTGTCGACCGCCACGAACTCCTCGGCCCGCATCGCGCTAGCCCCAAGGCCAAGCCGGCCGATCATGATCCCGACGTCGAGGATTTCCTCGTCAAGATCAATGGCGAGCGACGTGTTGACCCCGCCGTTGGGCCCATTATTGTTGAGGCCCTCCGCGCCGACAAATGCAAGATCCATGGCCCACGAGCGCGGGAGACAATCTCGTTCGCCACCAGCAGCGCTGGATTGTGCGCGGCGGGATGTTCATCCATGCGTCGTTGAGCCACGCGACGACATCCCGCAGGTTCGGGCGGAATCGCACGGCTGCGGTCGTCGCGCCCGCTTCCAGCCACAGCTGCGTGAAAGCACGGAGCCAGTGCTGCCCGTAGCGAATCTTGGTCGTCGCGATCAAGCCCTGGTCGAGAGGCTGGGTGAACGCAGTCGTCTTGGGCGGCAAGAAGACAAGCCGGATGTTGCTCAGCTTGCGGGTGCGGAAGCCGAACATGTCATCGGCTTCCGCGTTCTCGCTACGGATGACGTGGCTGCTGGCATTATCTAGCAGAATGACGATGAAGCGGTCTTTCGCTAGCATCGTGGCGTTCAGCTGTTCAATGAAATGCGTGAACAGCTAAGAAATCAGGGGGCGGGGGAAGACATAACAATGGAGAAGTAGTGCACAATTCAGGCGAGCCAGTGGTGATTGCGAATCAATACTAAACATAGACGCATGATATCAACAAAAGCACAAACAAACGGTCGAGGCTATGGGGTGGGTGAAATTATCGACGCGGTCATCCACCCTTTGGCATTGTTGCGCCAATACACCATGTTCTTGGGATCGTAGTCGGGGAGGAAGTCACGCGGTCGCTTGGCCTTCGAGATGACAAGCGGACGGAACGCATGCGTGCCTTCGGCGTTGACGAGAAGGCCCATAGTGAGCCGTTCCTTCGCCACCTTGCGGCCGGCGACGCGGGACTCGCCGTATGTCTTGCGCGGCAAGACAGACAGGTACAAGGCCGTCTCGTCAAAGTTGTACACGTCACGGGGACGGACGGCCAGGTACATGAGCAGCTGCGGGAGCCGGTCCTGGCAGGTCCGGACGGCGGCGTGGTCTTGGTCCGCGGCCTCCCCAGTGGCGCTACGGCACCGAATGCCATTGCGGCGCAGGGCACGGCGAACCCACCCCATGGAGCAGCGGAATGTGGCGGGAATGGCCATGTCTCGCGCGATGGCCGCCACATGGTCCCGGATGGTGCCGAGAGTGAGAGCAACACCCGCCGGCCCCGCGTTGCGAATCTAGCGCACCATGGCATGCTCAAGATCGGGGTGCGCACCGCCGCGAAGGCGGACGATGTTGTTGTTAGATGCCGCTTCCTTCCACCTCTCTGCGCTCTTCAAAACGCGCGAAATCGTGGAACGGTCGGGGCGGATCCCGAAACGGGTGAAGCACCACCTCGCGAGATCCATATGGCGCAAATGCGGATTATCCACATGCTGCTTGCAAATCGAACGCTTGATGTGCACTGCTAGCTGCGAACGGCGGAGAAGTCGAGGCATGGTTAGCCTCAAGAGGAGAGAGTAGGATGACTTACCTGGTTATTCTGGCTGCCATTTTATGCTCATGCCGTGGAGTGTCGCGCGAGCTTGAGTTTTGGACTTGGCGTGGGCCAAATGTGCGTCCCATCGTTCGAGCGAGTGAATGTTGCCAACGACTGACTTCGTGGTCGGGTGTGCGGGAGGTGCAGCCGACCTTCTGCAGGTGTACGAGGGTTGCCTGTACACGAGGTGTATTAGGGAATCCATGCACGAGTAATCGAAACATCCGTGAGTGCAACTCAGCCTTCCCGTGCGCATGTACAAGTGGCGCAGCTCGTGCAGAGGTTCGCGAATGTTCGTCTGCACAGGCGAATTTTGGCCAGAAATTCGAATGTGCCTTAATTTCGACCAATCAGGAGCTGCCATTTTGGAATCTCGACTGAGGTGTCCGACGAAGATGGCCGACGAAGGTTGTCGACCCCCGACGACGAAGGTCGTCGATTCGCGACGACGAAGGTCGTCAACCGGTGATGACGAAGGTCATCATCCTGCAGAGTTGCCAGGAACTTTTCCTGGTTGACCAAGTTACCTGCTCGACGAGGTGCGCGAAGGTGCGCGAACGTCGTCGACGCTGCTGTGGTGAAGTCGACTGACGTGGCAGCACGTGGTCGACGTGGCTCGTCAGGTGCAACCGTTGGCATGTGGCTGACAACCTGCGCAATGTACTTGACAGTGCACGTCGTGCATAACTGTCTACAAGCACCTGCGAAGTAGGTGCTTGCACATGCGCTTACAATCACCTGCGGGTGCAGTGTTGGCAAGCCGCACGGATGCTGCATTGGCAAGCCGCGCGGATGCAGCGTTGGCAGGCCGCCATTCTGCAGCGTTGGCAAGTCGCACACCAGCTGCGTTGGCGGGCCGTGGAGATGCTGCGTTGGCAGGTCGTCAACTTTGTCGTGCTGGCGATCGACCTGCCTGAGTGCTAGCAAACCTTGCATGTGATGTAGGCAATCCTTGCCATTGCATGTTCATTCTGAACTCTGTTATTCTCAACTTTCATAGTGAAACTCTTGCTGTTTTGCCCTGTGAAAACACAAGTCCTAGAGAACACAGACAGAGCTACGATCACTCTGATAACTCGTGCCAACCGCGTAGTCTAGCTCCATTGTTGTAGAGTTAATCTTTGCAACAAGTAGTGACCTCGGCCCTCCGATGTGGCCTTCGCATGCTGAACCCCAACCGGCCAACAGCCTCGCTGGGTGACACGCTGTTCCGGAAAACGGGCACCAGATCAGCATTCCCGGAGCTGACTCTCACGTCGGTGGTTCTACATCACGTCTGGTTGGAAAGATGCGAAGCTGTTTTTCAGGAGCAAAAGTTTCGGTTACAGAGAGTTCTGTGGAGGGCGGAATCCGCTTTTAGGCTAGACGCGCGGATCTACATGCGTAAGATGGGGGTAGCTCGAAAGAAACGGTTGCAAGAAATTTTCGCGGAGGAGAAGCGGATGTTGAGCAGAATCAAGATGGATGGCAAGGGGTGGACGTGGACAAGTGCATTCACCGCACTCTGGTCCAAGAGGAGGGCATGCAGCAACTCGCCCTAGACAACCCACCTGAAATAGTAATGTGCTCTGCTGTTGCGTCACGCACGGTTACGACCGTTTGATGGTGTATGCTTATGTCTTGGTATATACTCATCAATACAAAAAAAAAAAACATATCACGGATGGTCACACCTTGCTTTGCAACTCTATCACGTTTGGTCACAGATGAAATGCCCAATCGAAAAATGAAGCTACTCGAGTAACTGTAGAGATTCAGGGGAAGTTTAAATATGTACGCACTTTTGTCCGTAGCACTGCGAAAGATCGTTACCTTTGAAATAAAATCCAGATCAAACCCGCATATTCGATTGATCCAAAACGGGCTTGCAGTTACGTTGATGTCGTCTTCCTAAAATATACGCCCGTATCATTGTTTAACTGTTTGCGTCTTTAGAAACTGTTTGCTTGTTACCTCGCACATGGTTTTCGCCTAAGGTCTAGGACAGAAAGAAACATAAATAAACCCCTATAGGATGACATGCCCTTTCGGGAAGCATCAACCCTAAATACCATGCGATATGGTTTTTAGGATTGATGCCTCCCGAAAAAAAAAAAAAACCATTTGAACGGGTTTTAGTTTTATTCACGAACAGAAAAAAAGAAAATATTTGGAGTTTTACCCGTCTAGCGATGATATTTTCGAAACATTATACCTCATTGCTGCAACAATCGAGCAGTGAACACTGCGCCACCAGATAGCTTTCCTGAAATCTCTACAGTATCGTCTCGAGCTTTAACTCCCTAGCATTCGTTTCATGTGTGACCAGACGTGATGGCTATACGGGCCAAGGTGTGACTATTTGTGATAGCACTGTGATTACTCACGATATTTTCGAGCTGTACTGTGACTGTTTGTGATACCCTTATGAGCAAACGTGATAAATCGGGAATAATAGTGCCTATGTATATAATTTCCCTTGCAGAAAGCTTGTCATTGGCAGTCGGGGGAGCAGAGAGCATGAGTGGTTGGGATTGGGGGGACATACTGTATGGGCCAAAGAATCACTTTACACCTCTTTCGCGCTACACTGGCAATGGGATGCACTGGCTATAGTGCGTACTGTTGCTTGGAACCTAGCGGGCTGGTGCTTACATCCGAACTCCCAGGTAAGTGGCTGGCAAATGCTCTCCCGGTGAACGGTACACAACGGTTAAAATAAAACCTTGGATTTTTCGTACGGCTAAGTGCGGCAAACGTGCTTATACGGTACGTTCTGGGACCAACCTGGACGCATTGATGTGTGTACATCCGATCAACCAGTATAGCCAACGACAGTGTAGCGCGAAAGAGGGTGTACTGTATTTCACATGCCGTCCGTCACCCCACATGTTGCCCTCGGTTGCGGCTGGCGCACAGCTCGAGATGGAATTGCGCACAGGTCCACGAGCGGAGCAGAACGGATGGATGGATAGAACTCGAAAACTGCAGACCTCGCCCCCCATGTGGGGGACGCATGTGAGAGTTGGCGGTGTGTGTGTGTGTCGTGGTTTTGTCTTTGTTTTTTCGTATCTCCCCTTGCTTTCTTGAACCGTTCACACATTGCGGATGTTCGCGCCACATCTTCATAAAAGCGAACCAGGTTTGTCAGGAGAATTCATCGAAGTAAGTCCCCCCCTCCTTATAAGCATCATTCGGGCTCCCGGGATGTCTAGGGTTGAGATAATTTATTGGAACTTCTCGATTAACCGATACACCCCATCAGCAGGGAACCATGCGATGTTTGCCCCTAAGAGACAATTGATTGCTTCGAGCTGGCTTGAACTCAAGTCAACCAGGCGCGCACCACCATTCAACGCCATCCATCTTCATGTGGCTCACCGTCACCTGTGCGTCGCAATAAACGCAAATGCTGCTCCTCATCCGCACGTCTGACACCATCGCCACATGGTTCATCCACATCAACTCGCCAGCTCGACCACGCGTGCTTCTGTTCCAGCGGATTTCACGGAACGCTCGTGACTTGTCCTGTCAACTGCTGTGACTCATCTCGCCCGGCCCTGCTTCTGGCTCCAACAAAATGCTGGACACACAGATTGGACGCGTACGAGCCGTCGATGATCAGAACAACCACCACGCAGGCATTTCCTCATCGCGTGATGCTGTACTGTAATCTCAAGCAACACAGAGGAACATCACAAGCGCATCGACTCGAGAACATGATTGCTTGCAGCAAACAAAGCACCCCGTTCAACCTACCCGCTTCGCGCAAACCCCAAGTGAATAGAAGAACAAAATAGGCCAGCAGGATACTGGAAAAGATGTCGTTGGAAGGCACTAAGGAAGCCGCAGCACACTGGGTTCAAGCCTGGGAAAAACAATAGGAGCCATAGCTCTGCTACTACTAGCAGGCGTGATAGACTTCAGCTCAGCCAAGAGAATCCCCTCACTGTCGCGCTGGCCGTTTCCATCATGGTTCTTTAGAGTTCTTCAGAGTTCTTGTGCAATCATTCCACCCAAATTTGCATCACTTCAATAAGCATCATTCAGATTTTAATATATACATATTTTTAGCCAAATTTTGCTCCACAGATGGATAGAGAAGCCATATTAGCGTCTCTCCGTGCATTGTCCACGTCGCCGTTTCTTGCGCCAGGCGCTACAATCACACCGCCTTTGATCCCCTTCGGTATAGCCACTCCCCCGTCCCCCTTCACTCCCCTCGCCCCGCCTTCGTCCCCTTTCGCCGCCGCTTTCCGTGCGAGCCCCTTCGCGACGAGTCCTATCGCGTGCGCCAACCTTGTAAATATCCCCAAATTTGCAAATTTCGCTTTACAGCAGCACCAGCCGATTCCAGACCTCGCGTTCCCCAGCTCGGCGCCCCCGCTACCCCCGCTCGGCCGGAGCTCCCCGCATGCGGACGCCTTTTCGAAGAGCCCGCAGCCAGCGCCGCCGCGCCGCGATATTCTCGGGACGGGAACAGCTATAATTCGAGACAACGCCGCGCCGCGGGAAGCCCCCACGCCGCCTCAGCCGCCGCGCAGATCTCCCTCGTCTCCTGCGCGGAATCCGCTGGAGGAAATGGCCGCGCCGCCGCTTTCCTCCCGTAGTGGCGCAAGTGACAGCTTCAGTAACCGCAACAGTGATTGGCGCAGTGGCGGAAGTGACAGCCCCGCCGGTGACCATAACTGGCGCAGTGGCGGAACTGGCCGCTTCAGTGGCGGAAACGACCGTTCCGCCGGTGCCCCCGGCGACTTCGAAGGAACAGTTCCGGCGGGCGAAGGGACTGTCGCTGGTGTGCGACATGCCGTGCGACGACGTGGCGTTGACAGTCCGCTCGTGCGAGAACAAGCAGTGCAAGGTTTGGGGGGCGGAGTCGGAAACGGAAGCGGAGACTTAGTAGGCGTCGGAATGTTAGAGTGGCGACGCGGATTGGAGCAGCGACAGCGCCATGAGCATCATCAGCAACAGCAGCACCAACAGCGGCAGTTACCGTTGTTACCGCAGCTACCGGCGAGAAACGTTCTTCAGTCAGCTCACGCCTTCGCAGAAATGGCTCCTCGAGCCAATTACCCTGGTGCAAAGCGGGCACAACACTGGGAAACCCTGGAAAATCTGGGGCAATTTACCTCGGTAAAACGCGCAAGAGTGGAAGTGCGTGACGAAATTTTCCGTCGGGAGTGGGCTGCCCGTGACGGCGTTGAGGGAAGAGATTGGGCGGTTGAGATGGGTGGGAGAGATGGGCGGGCAATGTCGAAACATTTGGAACGGGCAGCTGGAGCGAAAAAGGCTATTGTGCCTACAGAGAGCCTGCAGAAGCGGCTTGGGCAGCAAATTGAGGCGCGGTTGCGGGGAAAGGGACCAGGGGAAGGGGGGGGAAGGAGAGGGGAAGGTTGGGCGCAATGGGGGGATTTTCACGGGGATGTAATGATAGAGAGGGGAGGAGGGGAGGGGGGAAGGCCAAGGGAAGGAGCGGAAGAGCAGGGGGAAGGGCGGGGGGAGCGGCGGGGAGAAGGACGGCGGGAGGCGCAGGGAGGAAGGGGATCCCATGACCGCGTGCGGGAGCAGTGGGGAAGGGACGCACGGGGGGGAGAGGCAGGGGGGAGAGAGGTATGGGGGGGAATGCGGGGGATGCGGTATCCTCCCCTTCCTCCGCCACTTCCTCTCCCTTTCTCCAGTGCTCCTCCCTCCGCCCGGTCTCCCCTTGCTTTCCCCCCGGAGGCGCGCTCATCTTCTCCGCTTCCGCCGCCTCCGCCCCCCCCTCATCCCCTTTGCAAAGACCCTTCCTACAGCCCTGCTATGGCTGAGAAAGCTCAAAAGAGATGCTTCTCATTGAATCATACTGCTAATATGTCCGATTCGCCGCTTTTTGAGACTTCTCAAGACGATTCTCGCCCGTCTCTGAATTGTCAGGCGCGCGGGGGAACGGATGAGCGGCGAGCGGGGGAAGAAGGGGAGAAGGAGTGTGAGACACGGGGTGGGGAAGTAGTGGGAGAGGAGGAGGAGGGGGGGGAGGGAGGGGAGGAGTGGGAGAGTGAGGAGGAGAGTGAGGAGGAAGGGGAGGAGGTGGAGAAGGGAAGTGGAAGGGGGAGTTGGCAGCAAGACGCAGCCGCAGCAACCCTGAGAGGGTCAACGCCGCTTTCTGCAACGCCCCCTGCAACAGCACTGACAGCTGCAGCAGCGGCAATGAGAGCATTTACTCCCCACAGCGGCAGCAGCGGCAGCAGCAGCAGCAGCGGCGGCGGCAGCGGCAGCACCGCCACCGTCGCCGCTGCTATCCCCAGCAGCAGTAGCAGCAGGGGCAGGGGCAGGAGCACTGTCCATCCCTCTGTTTCTTCCGCACGGCACGAGCCCGCATGCAGCAGCCGCGGCAGCAGTGCGCATGCGAGCACTCATGGGCATGTGCGATGAGTCCCAGCAGAGCAACTCCGTGCCTGTGCCGGGGACTGTCGCTCCCCCTGTGCCTCCTACTCTACCTGTGAATGCTCCTGGGATGGCAGGGAATGGTAACCTCGCTTCTTCTGCTGGTGCTGGTGCTGGTGCTGATGCTGGTGCTGGTGCTGGTGCTGCTTCTGCTGCTGCCAGTGCTGGTGCAAGTGCTGGTGCAAGTGCGGCTGGTGGGGCGTGGGGAGCGGGAAGAAGAGAATCAGACGCATTTAAGCATCACCAGCACCAGCAGAGGATGCTGGGGCGGAGCAAACTAGGGACTCTTAAAGAGGATGAAGAAGCGGAGGTAGCAGGAAATAAGGGAGGGGCAGAGGAGGAGGAGGAAGATGAGGACACGGATAGGGGCAGGGTGGGGAAGGAGGATAGGAGAGGCATGAGGAGAGGGGTCGATCAGGCTCGGGAGCGGCTGAGCTCGGACGGGTCAGGTTCGGACGGCTCAGGTTCGGAAGGAAGTGGGGAGGTGAGGAGGTGGGAAGAGGAAAGGGATGAGGATGACGATGAGGAGGAGAGGGAGGATGAGGAGAGAGAGGAGAGGAGGGAAAGGAGGGAGGATTTGCAGAGGAAGGAGCAGGAGGTGTGGAGGCTGCTTAGGGAGACGAGTGTGCTGCAGCAGATGGCGCAGGTGCAAGCACAGGCTCGGACGCAGTTCGAAGCGCAGGCTCGGGCGCAGCTGGAGGCTCGGGCATGCATGGAGGCGCAGGCTCGGGCCGAAGCTGTGGCGCAGGCTCGGATGCAGGTCCAGGCGCAGGCTTTCATGGCATCTCAGGCAGCATTATTAGCACAGGCTCAGGCTCAGGCGCAATTGCAAGTGCAGGCTCGGGCCCAGGCTGAAGCGCAGGTTCGGGAGGCTTTGGTTCGGGGGGCTCAGGTTCGGGCTTTGAGCCCATTTGGTGCGGAGCAAGCAGGTGTGGGAGTGACGTCAGCTGACAGAGAGGCAACAGCAGACGGACACGCAGCAGCAGAGGGGCAGGAAGCTTTGGTAAAAGCACGAGAATCCGGAGAAGCGGGAGAAGCAAGAAGAGCAGGAGGAGCAGGAGGGTTTGAAGGAGGAAAGTTGCTTGCTTTGTTGGTACCAGGACAAGATTCTCTCGCTTTGTCCACTGTTCCTTACCGCCCTCTCTCACACCCTCCGCTCTCACACCCTCCGCTCTCACACCCTCCGCTCTCACACCTTCATGAACAAGAGGAGAACGAGCCGCAGCAGCAGCTGGAGCAGCAACAGAAGCATGGGTTCTTACAAGAGATTCAAACCGTGGCAGCAGCAGCAGCGGCGGCGGCGGCAGCGGCTGCTTCAGAGGCGGTTTATGCAAGCATGATTGGGAGGAGGGAGGGTGGTATGATGGGGAGGAGGGAGGGTGGTATGGGGAGGTTGGAAGGTGGAGGGATTAAGGAGCAAGAATGGCCACACCAGCAACAGCAGCAGCAGCAGGCTCGGCACCAGACCAGCAACTCCAGGTCCGGCGGCAGGCTTGGACGGAATCCAAGCCTGGGGGGAGATTCGGAGTCACAGAGTGTAACGGAGAGCTTCGACATTGAAGCCGCTGCCGAAGCTGCTGCCGAAGCTGCTGCCAGGGCTGCTGCCGAGGCTGTGAGGAGGGAATTGGGAGGGCGGAGGAAGAAGAGGGGCAGGCAGGAAGGGAACGAGGGAGAAATCGGGAGGAAGTTTTCTGTTCAGCGTCGCATCAGTACAGATGGGGGTGGGGACACGTGGCAGTCAGGGGGTGGGGGAGAGTCTGAGCGAGGAGTTGAATTAGAGCATGGGGGAACGTGGGGGCATGGGCGACCCAAGACAACAATCCACATACATGGGCGAGCGGCTAGTATGGACCTCAACAATCCACCCAAGACACGACCTCCTACACATGGTAAACTTTCGGTATTGCCCATCTTGACTTGGTAATGATCGTTATTGCCCTCCTTCACATGTTAACGTTCATTTGGTGATGCTTTACCCTCACCATCCGCAATGCCACCACCACCACCACCCGCACCAGCATCAGCACCACACACCGCTCTGCACCCCTTTCTACTGCACCGCACCTTTCTACCACCCACTGAGCCCCCTCAACACTCCTCTCTCTCCCCCTTCTCTTCCGCCCCTCCCCTCCGCGCCCCTCCTCCCTCCCCAGTCAACCCCCTCCCACCAGCTCACCCATCTGTACCACCTGAAAACACACCTGAACACCATGGGAATGCACCTGAGCTGCCCAAGAGCGCACCTGACATACGGGAAAGCACACCTGAGCTCTCTCCTGAAGACCTGGCCATGTTCCATTCATTCGCTCACTTCGAAGCCACACTCCCACCAAGCCTCAGCCATCCGAGCCTCCATTCTTCCGAACCTTGGTCTCCCGGGTCATCTGCCAAACCTAGCAACGCCAATCCCAGCAATGCCGAGCCTAGCTGCGGTGGACCTAGGAACCCCAACTACAGTGTCCCTGAGCCTCGAAGGCCCGAGCCTCGAAGGCCCGAGCCTAGAAAGCCCGAGCCTCGTACAAGAATCTCATTGGAGGATGTGATTGGCCAGCGAATGGCCATGATGGGTGGGAACCTTAGAGGACGAGAAGCAGCGACCACAGCAGCAGCAGTGCGAGCAGAGGCAGGGGCAGGGGCAGGGGCAGGAGCAACACGAGAAGCAGCAGGAAGAGGAGCAGGAACAGCAGCAGGGGCAGACGTAGCAGCAGCAGCAGCAGCAGCAGCAGCGGTGGCGGCACAGGCAGGGGTTATGGTTCCCTATGAGCCGAGGCAAAGGTCGGCTGTAAATGCATCAGGAGGGAATGACGCTTCCAAGTTAGAGGGAAGGGTGAGACTTCGGTGTTTACGAAGAGACGGGGAAGAGGAGGGAGAGGAGGGAGATGAGGGAAACGAGGGAGAGGAGGAAAATGCAGAACAGAAGCAGAAGGAAGGAGATGAGGGAAACGTGGGACAGGAGGAGGATGGGGAGGGAGAGGAGGGAGAGGAGGGGGTGCCTGAAACGGGTACTATCCCGAACTTACCTGCGAAGTGGAGGCTCGTTTCGAGGCTCGGCACAAGGCTGAGCCTGATCGAGGACCGAGGCTCGGGCCAGAGGTTCGTCGTCCAGCAGCTGGAGGTTCGAGAAGAGGCTCGGGAGGAAGCGGGGGAGAGATTACGGGAGAAGAATGGCTGTGTGGGGAGTGGGAGTGGGAGTGGGAGTGGGAGTGGGAGTGGGAGTGGGAATGGGAATGGGGTTGAGGCGAAGACACGAGTGAGTGTGGAGGGTGGGAGAGTGAGAGAGCTTCAGAGGAAGGTAGCTCTGCTGCTGAAACACAGCCATGAGAACGTGGTGCCTTGTATTGGAGCCATCCGGGCCAACCCTGTTGCTGCTACTGGTGCCGCTGCTACTGGGGGTGCTACTGGTGGTGCTGCTGCTGCTTCTCCTCACGAGGAGTCGGTGGTGGTGTTTGCGGCGTTTGAGTTTGTGCCGTCGCCGCCGCTCTCCCAGCAGCTGCACGAGTGTGGGCCCATGCCGGAAGATACACTCGCCTTTTGCCTCCGACAGGTGAGAAGCAGTGAGTTCAGTGCAGTGCAGTGCGGTGGGAGTGTGGTGCAATGCGGTGCAGCATGGTGTGCTGTGGTAACGGTGGTGTAAGGTCACCCCCTCCGCACCCACTCCCCAACCCTTCCTTAGGTGTTCAAGGCCCTCCCACGGCAAGACTCACAGCAGCATCCTTCCCTCATGTCTCTACCCTAACCCATCTGCTCTTCTTATTGTCTCTTCTTATTGTTCCCCCCATCCCTCACCAGGTGGCGGAGGCCCTTAACTCCCTTCACGACTTTTGAGGCGCCTCAAAAGTCTTAAGTCTTATTGTTCCCCCCATCCCTCACCAGGTGGCGGAGGCCCTTAACTCCCTTAACACCCACAGCATCACCCACAGCAACATCCGTTCCTCCACGGTCTTTGTCCCGGACGATCGCTTTGCTCGACTCATCCCTATGGTCCCTCACTCACTACTGCCCCAACCCTCACCAGGTGCTGGAGGCCCTTCACTCCCTTCACGCCCACGGCATAACCCACGGCAACGTCCGCACCTCCACGGTCTTTGTCCCGGACGATGGGGTCGTGCGACTGGCCGGCATCGCTTGGCTGGACTCCAACGGGCACGGGGACAGCCGGGTGGCACACCTGTCTCCTGAAGCCATTCGAGAGGTGAGAAGAGCAGGGCCGTCAACAAGAGAAGAATGGTTGAGACAGAGCAGAGCACAGGTTGTGATGGCTTCACAGAATGCTTCTGTGAAAGACTGGGAGGGTGAAAGAATCTGATGTGTGGGCGGTTGGGGTGCATTGAAGCGGCCATGGCCACTCAAGAAGAACCTATTGTTCAATTCCACTGACTTGGAGACGTCCCAACACACTTGTGTTAATCCATCCTTCTCTTTTTTCTTCTCTTGCTAATGGCCCTGTGATGAAATTCCATGTTCCGCAGGAAGGGGAGGGGCCGCCATCTGATGTGTGGGCGTTGGGATGCCTAGCTGTGGCCATGGCTACTGGAGCACAGCCGTGGGCTGATATCACAGACAGCGAGCAGGTGAGCTTGGGATGCTGTAGCAGGATATCATATGAAGGGCAGGGAACAGGGTACAGTTAGAAGTAGTCGCTTTTTTTTTTTTTTTTACCATTCGTTTTGCCTTACTGTCATCTCCAGAAATTTATCTTAATTACCTCCCTAACCCTTTTTTCGCTTTTTACCCCTTTCCTCCTGTCGCCGTTTTTCCATTGTGCCAGGTGAAGTTGTTCATTGCTCACAGTCGAGACCTACCTGAGCTACCACCTGATTCTTCACCTGAGTTCGCAGACTTTGTTGCATCCTGCTTGAACCGCGACCCTTCAAAGAGGCCAACAGCCGCAGCCCTCATAAGCCATCCATTCCTTGCTGCGTCATAGATCAGAGTGTCACAGCATCTTCTGCTCACTACAGCACAGCACCACCGATCCTGCTTCAACCAGAGTATAAAGATTTGGGTCAAGTCCCTTCAGAGAGGCCATCTGCTGGAACTCTCGTGAGCCTTACATTCCTTGCAGCGTCATAGATCGGATCAGAATCAGGCTATCCACAGGTCACTACGGTACAGCACCATAAGCCCTGCTTCAACCAGAACACAAAAAGAAAATCGGGTCAAGACCCTTTTAAGAGCCATCAGCTGGAGGCCTCGTGAGCCATCCACTCCTTGTGGAGTCATAGGTCAGCGTCACACTATCTACGGCTTGTTAGCTACGGCACAACACCATTAGTCCTGCTTGAACCAGGATATACGGTACCAGCCTGCATTAGGCTTCAAAATTAGGCAGTCGGGACCCTTGGAAGCAACTATGGTATCAGCAGGAGCCCTCCTCCTCATCCCTGCATTTCTACCGTACCACCACCCTTGGAAGCAACTATGGTATCAGCAGGAGCCCTCCTCACCCTTCCTCCTTGGTGGCTTCGGTAGTGCTCTCAAACATGCATCTGCTTGGCAGGGGCACAATTTATACAGTAGTTGTTTAGTTGCTCTCCTTCGGAACCAAATATTGTTGCCTTTGTCAAATATTGCTGCCAGAAATCGGAACCTGGAAGAACTCCCCTGACAGCAACGTGTTCATTCCTCGCTACTGTATATAAATGTTCTCTCAATCAGATTTTTATTAGAAAATGTACAGTACAGCATGTCAGAATGTTATTATTGTCTAGCCTGTAGTGGGGTGCTCTATAGCGAGTACAACCCAGTTAGGGTTTGCTATATGTACCCCAACTGCTGCTAGTGAAAACCCTCTCCTTTCAATCATTCTTGCCTAGTTCTGTTGACATGCTATCAGAGCAGGTCGACCCCCTTGGGTCGATCCTGTGGGTGGGCCCGCCACCTAACTGCTTCCGCTGCTATTCTGCTTCTCGCACGCCTCGGGCGCGCGCCGTCTTCTTCCTGCCGTGCGAAAAATTTTAGGGTTTTTCATCCCGCCGTGCGCTCAGGGCGTACGGCGGTTTTCTGCCCGCCGTGCGCCCCGAGGCGCGCGGCGGTTTCCTGCCCGTCGTGGCGCCCCCGGGGACCTGCGCGCTGCCCCCCGTCGTCCTCCTCCCGTCGCCTCGTCGCGGCGCCCTGGGGGCCCGCGCGTCCCCCCCCTCCCGTCGCCTCGTCGCGGCACCTTGGGGGCCCGCGCGCCGCCCCCTCCCGTCGCCTCGTCGCGGCGCCTAGGGGGCCCGCGCGCGGCCCCTCCCGTCGCCCGTCGAGCCGCCCTCGGGGGCCCGTGCGCGGCCCCCCTCCCGTCACCCGCCGTGGCGCCCTCGGGGGGCCCGCGCCCTGCTTCTTCGTGGCGCCCAAGAGCCACCCCGCTGCCTCCCTTTCCCTCCGTGCCCCGCCCCTGCTGTTTCCCGCGCTCCTGCCTGCGTTAGGGTTTGGGGGTGGCGGGCATGGGGGTGACCGGTGTGGGTAACCTGCGGCTCCTCCTCCTCCTCCGTCTCCCACTGCTGCAGCTGCCGCTGAGGGGGGTGGGTGTGTGGGAGCCGAGGGTTTAGGGTTTAAGGGGGGTGCCGTGGAAGTGGAGCTAGGGTGTCAGCAGGGGGTGTGTGAGAGGGGCGTGGGACGGTCGGGGGAGGTTGCGTGGAGGTAGCCGTCGTGACGCCAGCAGCGCCAGTAGTCCGGATGCCCTCGCGCGTTTCGGTAGCCCAGCGAGCCTGCTTCGCCAGTCGCCTGTGGGTCCGTTGCTCCTGTGTGTGCTCGTCGTAGCCGCGGAGCCAGATACTCCCGTAGTCCGGTGCCCTCGTGCGCTCGGTAGCCACTGTGCGCGCCGCTCCTGTTGCCCGTGTGTCTGCAGCTTCAGTCGGCGCCTTTCATCTTCTCGCCCTCACAGTTTCTCCTCCTCCTCACTTGCCCTCTATGATCACCTCTAGCTTTGCTTATAATTGTGAACTATTGCTATGCCTGCTCATTGTACTGATTACACCCCACTTTGGCTATGGGGGTGTGTCAGAATGTTATTATTGTCTAGCCTGTAGTGGGGTGCTCTATAGCGAGTACAACCCAGTTAGGGTTTGCTATATGTACCCCAACTGCTGCTAGTGAAAACCCTCTCCTTTCAATGCATCATTCTTGCCTAGTCCTGTTGACACAGCATTGCTGCGTTGTATTGATGAGTCGAATGCAATGATTGTGGAGGAATGCTGCACAGTAAAGCATGTGTTTTTCCACACTCCATTAGCACTGGTTCCCACTCATAGAGATCCACTAAAGGACAGGAAAGCTCTAGCACAAAAAATATCCCACAAGGAATTCCCTACAAACCCCCCAGCACAAAGGCTGGTGTGATAAACCTGTGAATTATCCAGCTTCCCTCCAGAATTCCTGCAAGGAATTATGGCCCCCTCCCCGTGGCATCATAACTACATAGGCCCCACCCCTTTGTGAATCATGGGTTCACCATGACCCCGCCCACCCCTCCCTGTTACCTCATGCCTCTATTTCTTCATCATATCTTTGATCTTGCCGCAGAACAAGTCGTTTCCAACCTTGATAACGCCGCGGAACGAACTCGGCTTATCCAAAACGTCTTGCACATCACTGTCCGGACCACCGTACGGGCCGATCTCTGCCGTCCCCTTGAAGTTGTACCGTTTCAGCATTTTCCCCGTTGAGCCCGTCCGATCTTTCCAAGCCACCGCGTCGATCGAGAAAACGGATTCCTCTACAGCCGGGCAGGTTGATGTGAAGCCAATGTATGCAGGCTTGACTCCCTTGGAGCGCACATTGTAGACATTCGCAGTGATGACGTACCACACATCGTTTCCGTTCCTGGAAAAATAAATGCATAGCACCAGAGGCATGATAGCGGCCAGAGGTCAAAAGTTTAATGCATTGAACACTCCTAGATGCAGTCGATGCCTCGTCCAACAGTGTGTGTAGCAGATGAATAGTGCATGGTGTACCAGATAATGTCGCATAACTTTTCATCCAGTGCATCATCCAGAACCTTCCGGAACTATGGCAGGTATCTGTAGCTACCGAAAGTACTTACACGACAATTTTGAAAACAATCTTTCCTCTGGCCATCTCGGGCTGCGTCACACGCCCCTTGTATCTAGCAGGGCTCACAATCGACTTCAAGTGATCTGGAGAGTGATCAAGTGGCAAGACACAGAAGGGGTAAGGCACAGAAGGGGTAAGACACAGAAGGGGTAAGACACAGAAGGGGTAAGGCACAGAAGGGGTAAGGCACAGAAGGGGTAAGGCACAGAAGGGGTAAGGCACAGAAGGGGTAAGACACAGAAGGGGTAAGGCACAGAAGGGGTAAGACACAGAAGGGGTAAGGCACAGAAGGGGTAAGGCACAGAAGGGGTAAGGCACAGAAGGGGTAAGGCACAGAAGGGGTAAGACACAGAAGGGGTAAGGCACAGAAGGGGTAAGACACAGAAGGGGTAAGACACAGAAGGGGTAAGGCACAGAAGGGGTAAGACACAGAAGGGGTAAGGCACAGAAGGGGTAAGGCACAGAAGGGGTAAGACACAGAAGGGGTAAGACAGCACAATAGCCACGGCCCTTGTACCTGGCAGGACTCATCATCGACATGGTCGACACTACTGCAAACCGACATATGATGGGATATGGGAAGACATTACTACTAACCATCCGACATATAAAGTGATCACGAGAGAACCGAAGAGCGTTGCGTAACAGACAGACAAAGCCGGCAAGGTAGACCTTCGCCAATTCTCTCATTTGGCAAGAATTGGCTACAACATCATTTACCGCAAACATGTGGGGCACTCACTGATGGTTCTCCCAGACACCAAGCTCCGCAGGAAACTTCACCTTCCCAAGAGCCTATCTTTGAGGCGCCTAAAAAATACATCATATACCAACATGTGATGGGATGGGAGGCACTCACAAGTGGTTGTCCCAGTCACCAAGCTCCGCCGGTTCGTCTCCCCGAAAGCAGTTGTGACGTTCGTTGCCGTGACACCCCAGTGAAAGGCCGCAACTGCCAGGCACGGCGGAAGAAAACAAGCAGGAAGTGTAAGACTAAGGCAGCAGGAACGAAGAAGTGTAAGACTATGGCGGCAGAGACAGGGCAGTACAGGGCGGTACAGGGCGGTACAGGGCGGTCCAGACCCTGATCATGGGTCACTGACGGCGTGACAAGACCTTTCCAAAACCTTTCACGTAGTCCGTTGGCTTTAAGAAAAGCCTTGGGAGATCCAGCATGACACGCAACCCCTCAAACGGAGACTTGAACGCGGGGGGGCTGTCACGGACAGGCCATTGATGGTGCCTCAGGGAGGTGATGAAGCAGCAGCAGAGAGGACACTCACGGAGAGATTGAACTCACGGAGCAGCAGAAGAAGCGTGTTCCTGGCCATCGGAGCATGATCATAGACAGGCCATTGGTCACAGACATGATGCCTCAGGGAGAGGCGATGAAGCATGATGATCAGAGCAACTCACGGAGCGATTGAACTCACGGAGAGAGTGAACTCACGGAGCAGCAGAAGAAGCGCGTTCCTGGCCATCGGAGCAGCGGTAGACCGAAGATGTAACCCCGAGGGTGCTGGATCTTGAAGCCTTACTAGAGGTGTTTCAGTGAAGCTGGGTGAAGCTGGGTGAAGGTGGGTGAAGGTGGATATCTACTCGTACTGAGAGGTGCTTCTGTGGATGCCCGATGAACGGGTTTTATACTCACATGCTCACTTACCTCTTCGTTTCTCGGGATCCACGTAACTCGTGTCCTAGGTCCCCTCCCTCGGCTGGGCCATCACAGCCACGCTTCGTGCCGCGATGTGATTGGCAGTCGAACCGCGAGGTAGGTGGGCATGAGTTCGGTGCTCGTGGATGGTGGGAAAGGGGGTCAAAGTAACCCATTGGGTTTTCCGGGCAGCACGCGAAAACTACCAGCGTAAAAGCGGATAGCGAACAGAGCTA